GAACCTTAACCTAAACCTGAGGCCGATACTGAAACTTAACCAAGGCCTAAACCTGAACCATTGCAGTGACGTAAATTAACCTGCCCTTCTAGAACCTGAACCAGGACTTGAAGACCAAAATCTAAATCTAAAATAAACGTGAACGTGAACCTGAACCTGAATCTGAATTAGCTTTTGAATTTTAACCTAAACAAGAAACAAACTGAATGTTCAACTTGAACCTGAACAGTGAACATAAACTTTATATTTGAACCTTAATTTAGACCAGAACTATCTGAACAAAACTGTAATCTAAGTTTTATTTCATGTTTATAAACCTTGAAATCGTAAACTACTACAAAACCTAAAAAGAATGATAATAAAGACAAGTTTGAACTCTACTCAACCATCACCATGTGTATGGAGGAGGAGGGAGGAGGGACACAATTCTTTTTGTTCAAGTCTAAACGTTAACTTTATAGCTTTATTACTTTAGTTCACCTTAGGGGGGCTTTAGCTGCCCATTTTGTTATAAAGGTAATATTATGTGAGCCTTACCAATACCAACTCTCCCTCCCTTCACACACTTCCCCCCCCCACATAATTTTTAAGGTTCAAGGTTAACCATAAAAGAAAAATTCTTCTTTTGTATTCAGTACATATGCGTGGAGCCCGTACATGTACGAACAGCAATCTGGGGCATGGTACAACTGTACAATGATGCTGATAAAAAAAAGACGAACGTAAATGTGACACAAATAATATCACAAGTAAGTAAAGGTTATACAGATTTACAAAAATGCGTCCGCGAATAGATCCATGATTATACTGAATATATATAATATACATTTAAAAACACAGACAAATCTAATTGTACAATCAGAAAAAAACATTTGACTAAAATTGCATTCAGACTTATGGACATATAAACCAATTGACTACAGAGCACACCTGGTGACTTGGAGTCAAAGGGACGCACACTCATACAGACACTATTTCAGACGAAGCCATAAAAGGTTATTAACACATAAATGAACATAACTTATTAGCAGACATAATTACATACAACTATTTCAAGAGAACATTATAGGGGCAGAATACATTGCCACATATATGTATGTATGTATGTATGTATAGACAGTATATTGATGCAACTCCATTATCTAGATATTACTAAACAATGACCAATATTTTATTGAACAATAAACGACAAACAGAAGATTGGAGACATGAATGCTGATGTGCAGTTTTCAGTTTATACATTGTTTTAAAATGTTTTCGATCGCGTATCCTAATATACAACCACGTGGATTATTGGACAAAGTAATGAGACTTGAGTGCAGACTTCTAGAAATATTGTTTTTATAAAACACATAAACAGAAATAAGCCTTTGTTTCTCTGATAATGATTTGTTTATTGTTTTTGGTACGCATTTGTTTATTTCTGATAAATGTTGTTTTCATTGTATATTATCCGTTTTGGAGAGACTTTGGTTTTGGCGCTAAACTCAACCGTCATATTGGTCTAGGACTCTAGTTCTTATGCACATTCTTTATACTAGAATAATTGGTATATTTAAACTAGAGTTAGAGCGACCTATGCTAACGGACATTTAGTGGGTTTAACCTTGTCCAGCGAGAATTCTAACACATGATACAATCAACAAAATTTTGATAATTTCATAAAAATTTATTTTCGGTGGTCCAATTTACGGTCAAACAAATTAAATTAATATTTATAGTAGTTTTCTAGGACATTATTGTTACAGTATGTATATTGTTGGTCTTGTGATATTTCATAGAAAAACATTTCATAGATAGGACATTTGTTATTTCATAGAAAACATTTCATAGACAGGACATTTCAGAGACAAAACATTACATAGATATAGAACATTTGTTATTTCATAGAAAACATTTCATAGACAGGACATTTCAGAGACAAAACATTTCATAAACACAGTATTTTTTTCTTCTTTTAAGTAATCTTATCTAATAAATCATACATTTTTACTTCTCGTGACATATTCATAATTTTGCTTTATTTTAAATGATAATATATTATATATAATATATATATTATATATTATATATAATATATATATTATATATTATATATAATGTATTATATTTTTGATACATCTTGTTAGTTTATACTAAAAAATTACACATTGCAAAACAATATATTTATATGAATTGTTATTACTTTATAATCACAAATATTTGGCACATTTTCTAAATTTGTGACACAATATTTTATCCCAAAACCTTAAATTATCTCTGAATTAAATTGCTTTTCTGTCTATGAAATTACATATCCACGAAAATTCTTCTCTGTCTATGAAAAATCTGTTCTGTCTATGAATTATGTCCTGTCCAAGAAATTATGATTTTGTTATCTATGAAATGACTTTCTGTGAAATAAACACTCAATCAAATGAAAATGCTAATAATTTTGAAATAATAAATCCTTAAGTTGTCAAACAAATATAAAGAATTTTGTGAATTACCCAACATGAATAATATGAATAATATGAAATTTTTTTTGTAATTTTCTAATACATGATCAAAATTTCTGTGTAGAAAATGTTATTTAGTTTTTTTTCGGAATAAAAGTATATTTTTTTGTGTGGTGAAGGGACAAAAAAGGCAGAATAGTTAGTACAAATGATTCATAAAGATATAAAGAAAATTATTCATTATAAAAGTTCTTTAGTTGTATTGATATATATGGCACATAATGTATGTTTACGTAAGACAAAAAAAAAATATGTATCCTTTGACCCCCACCTCCCCCTACCCTGTCCCCCCTTCCATGTGACTCCTGGTTTGCAACAGTTTTGCAACAATTCTGCTAGGTTTGTCATGCAGACTAGGAATTCTGCAATGACTTGGAATCCTGGTTTCGTGATACTCCGGTAATTGCATTCAACAAAGCATAATAAAACAGAACCAAAAAAAACCCAGAAATAACAATATTGTAAGAAGTATGTGATCACCTTTAACATTTTATATACAGGGTGTCCCATATCAAATTAGATTGTGTATAGTTCAAAATTGTGATTTTAGGGACTAATAAAAAAAATTAAAAACAATGAATGAATTTTTAAAAATGTAAAAGATTTCTATAAAGATATCTTTCAGAAAATTCTTTGTTTTTTTGAGTATTATCTGCATATTTTGGTGTTAAAACTTGGAGAGATAATCTAATATGATATGGGATGCTCTATATAGAAACGTAACTGTNAAAATAATAATTTTCCTGCTTCTCTTATATTTTGTCCATAGAAATATAAATTATCCCAGTATAACGTATGATGTCAGTTTTTAAATTGAGGCTAGAATTAATTTCCAATCCAGTGGTATAACACTTATAGTTCCCGAATCCAAATTTAAGGCTGCACACCCTAAACTAAGCTTTCGGTGCGTTCTGCAGTAATTAGCAGTACACTGACCGAAGATATAGTAGCGTTTAGTGGACAGTGTGCATATCAGTTAAGGGGTTCCTGAGTTATGATCAGACAGACAAGATGTAGTTCTGAGTAGTCCCCTGAAGTTAATCATTAGTCCTCATTCCCCGGCACTGTCTCACGATCTCAAGCCAAAAATAATGTCAATTTACTTCTTAAAAAGCAGTAAAATTAAAGCCCAAGACACTTCAAAGTCACCATTGTCTTAAAATTTGATGAGGCTATTCACAAGCAGGCTGAATCTATCCTCCTCCCTTAAATTTGTCTTATGCCCCCCTCCCCCTCCTTTTCAAGGGGTTGCAAGAAGACTTGTCCCCACGCCAGTATAATGTATAAAATGTATATTATATTAAAGGGTTACCCACAAAGGATGAGACGTTAGAGACGACTTTACGGAATTCAAGCTGCCTGTTTTCTTATATGCACGATTTCCTGCAACTATAATTACTTGATTATTTTTTACCAAGCCATAATAATGCCATAAAAAGACTATTTAAGGCCAAAGACTTAATTTAACCTTTTGACTGTCCTATTATATGAGTTTCAGATCGTCTTTATACAGTGAACAGTCTCAATCCTTTGTGGGTATAACCCTTTAATAAGTGGTTGAGAGACGGGGTATGGACGTGCGACTGAAAGAGAGAAACTAGTGTTGAACTACGTTTCAGAGGACAATCATCCCCTTTAAAAATGAGGACTGCGCTTTTGATAAAAGGCAGTCTTAGAATATTGTAGTTCCCTACACGTCGGTATAATGTTACATATCGTTGCACAACATCCTATACTGAACTTCTGATCTACTTCCTTTTCGCCCTACTGCGATATTGGACCTACGCCAGCTGTTTATTTTTGTATTATTTGAGGGTTAGGTTAGGTAAAGACAATTTCTGGACCGAGCGCTGCGGCTAGCTGATAGGCTAGGTGGCCGAGCGCCGCGGCTAGGACAGGCAAGGGGGCCGGGCGCTGCGGCCACAAGTCCACCTAGCAGCTGAAAAACCACATGCTAGTAGGTCGGATGTGCAGTATAGCGGATTTTGCATAGGTCGAAAGATAAACCATCGATTTTTCTTTTCAGCAAAGACGATATATTTTAGTTACAAAATAAGTCGGACAAAACCATGCGGCAAATTACATGAGATGCGCAATGTCCAAATGCTCCGCTACTACTAGAATTAGCCTACTGTGTACGTCCCAACAACAATTTTAATTAAATTGAAAATTGTCTAATTTGAACTCCTATCAATTTTGTACATGACCACTTCTTCAACAATTTTCATCAAAATTAGCAGTTAGAGTTAGGTTAGGTTAAGATACTTTCTGGGCCGAGCGCTGAGGCTAGGACAGGCTAATAAGGGACTGGGCGCTGCGGCTAGAACAGGCTAGGGGACCGAGCGCAGCGGCTAGGAAGGCTAGGGGGCCGGTCAATAATATTTATAGGACAGGTTAGGGGGCGCGCTGCGGCCACAATAATATTTATGCCATACACATAAGATCCATCCAGGGGGGGGGGTCCAAAAATTGTTTGTTAGGAAATTACATAAGGACATACATGATATAATTTAATTTTCAGACGTAGTATCAAGTATGGAGATATGTATTGAGTTGGTCCGGGGTCCAGTCTATTTAACAGGGGAGGATGTCGAGTGTTGGGTCAAAATATCAAACACTTTAGGTAACCTTAACACACTTTTCTTTATTATTATCAATGTTGACGATACGGTCTTGTTTTCTAGAAAGTATAAATATTACCGCGTTGGCAAGGGTCTGTCCAAGAGAACAATTTATGACCCTCCCAACCCCGGTGCAGTCCTAGTCTGGGCCGAGCGCTGCGGCTAGATCAGGCTAGGCTGCGGCCAAGGAGTATAGAATATAAGGAGAAGGAATCAACCCGGCCAACCCTACCATACATTAAAGACGGTACTCTACTTGATTATAAATTATTTAAAGGTCGTCTTTTAATTTTTTTAATGTGTTTTTTTACCATACCATATTAAATAAAACCGATTTTTATAATGATAAAGTACGTTTGTATTGCCAATATTTTTGCATCCCTAAAAAATGTGTTGTTTGGTGATATTTAGCCAACATTTTTCCATGTTTAATGTATACAATAACCTATTCTGAATACATGTACGCAGTATTTGTGCATCAGAAAGTAAAGGGGAGGCGATACAACATCGAAAATTCATCCCTATTACTATAACTTTAGTTTTAAGTTCTAATAATAGTAAGAAAGTAAAATAATTCAGATGAATCTGCAACCATTGGTTGGATTAGTGCCCAGCTCAACTGTTTCTGTAGTGTTAGTGATGACAAAATTTCAAACATTGATCCGAAATCAAGGAAAATCAGGTTAAGATATATTATAGATAAATAAAAATGGCTGATGTATGTTCAGGGCTGTATATTTCTATCAAAATCATCCCCTCTGAGAAGTTAGTTATGAATGCGTTGAGTGTAAAATTTTATTTCAGGTTTTTTTCGCTTCATTGTGGAAAATAATAAAATTGAGTAAAAAGTATCCAGTTTTTCCTTTTTTTGTCCCTAGATCCAGGGGCGTATTCAGGACTTTGTCCGGGGAGGCGTACATTTTTTCTTCTAGGGGGGGGGGGGGGGCAGCACCCGTTGTGGCCCAATAAACTCCCGCAAACTTAAGATTTCACTAATTGGGCCTATAGCTTCCCTTTAAATACACCTCTGCCCAGATTATCAAAAATCATTGAGAGAATATACCCTGGGGTGTAAACAAGTTTTTTACCCAAGGGTATATCCATTCTTGGAAACGATGATGTTGATAATTTTTTCTTGTAATTTAGTGTTGAATCCCAGAATAAAACATCATTTATCCCAACACAAGGAGAGTCCGGCCTAGCAGTTTTATCAACGAAAACTAAAATTTTAGGTAAATCTTTCAAGTAGCAGTGGGAACAAATAAAATCAAAAATATGAGAAACGAAAAATAAGGACTAATAGAAGTAGCAGTCATCTTTCCTCCAATTTTTGTAAACAGGAATAAAAGCCGTCATCTATCTTCCAATTTTTGTAAATTCACTTGAAATTTTAAACTTTCATTTATTAAATTTATCATTAAAAACCTATTTGTGTTTGGCCTCTTTGTTGATTAGGCGGGGTCGGGTTTGATTCTTGTAAGAAAAACTAATAATTTATGTTTAGCCTGTAGTTTGGAGATCGGTCCTGGTGAGATCAAAAAATTTCTTTTCTCGGAGAATATTCCTCACAATGCCCCTCCTTCATACAGGCAAACTTTCAGCTAAGAATGGAAGGGGGGGGGGGGGAATTTTGAAACTAAAAAGTTTCATTAAGAATTTTAAGTGATATGTTTTTCAGTGTATAGATTGCCATTGGATTGTTAAAGGCAAACTTAGTACATCTAAATAATTGCTCTATGAACATATTCTTATGTAGAGACTTAGTGATAGTTACATCTATATATATATTTATATTTGTCTGTCTGCATCCACCAAACGTAAAAAAATGTAGAAAAGTTTAAAAAATGCAATAATTTACACAGAGAAAATCCGCGAAAATTAGTTTTTTTTGAGAGAGAAAATGAAGATAAAATGGGGACTTGAAGAGCAAAAGTTAGAAGTTAAACAAGGTAGTGAAGCACCTTCGTCTACTTTATGTAAAATTTAAATAAAGTTTCTTAATATATTTATTTGTTAGAGGAAACGCCTTGAAGTACAGTTACAAGCTCTGTATTGGATCACAGAAACTGGGAAAACCTGCCACTCTTCATAGACTACCCATAAGGTTATAGATATTTTCCTTTTCATTATTGTTTGCGTTTTGGATTCGACAGATCGACTGGTTTGGGCTGCAAATCTAATAATTATCATTCCTCAGAATGGTATAGGAATTAAACAGTAATATATTGCTTCTTTTAAAATCAGAGATGTTTTTGGACAGATGATCGGGTCTGTAAAATTTGTTCAGAACGGATAAGCCGTAAAAAAAAACACGAATAAATGATGAATTTGAATATTTGTATTTAGGATCTTGTCAGTAGACACGTATAACGGCAGTGTGCAACGAGAAGAAGAGGATAGAATGGGACCAAGTAATCCCTTTATAGAGGAAACTACCACTAAGGTACATTGCTATTTTACAAGAAGGTGGGAAAAAATCTGCTCATTTATTTCTCTGAACGTTGAATAATTTAGGATCCTGCTGTCGATATTATTATGCAGACGGTACAGGAGGTGACCAGTAGGAAGCAGGCCAGCTACTTTGTTATTGCGAATGCAAGGTAGGAAGCAGGCCAGCTACTTTGTTACTGCTAATATAAGATAGGAAGCAGCACAGCTACTTTATTATTGCTAGTGCAAAGTAGGAAGCAGCCCAGCTACTTTTTAAATGCTAATTCAAGGTAGGAAGCAGCCCAGCTACTTTGTTATTGCTAATGCAAAGAAGGAAGCAGGCCAGGTACTTTGTTCTTGCTAATTCAAGGTAGGAAGCAGCCCAGCTACTTTGTTGTTGCTAGTGCAAAGTAGGAAGCAGCCCAGCTACTTTGTTGTTGCTAGTGCAAAGTAGGAAGCAGCCCAGCTACTTTGTTATTGCTAATTCAAGGTAGGAAGCAGCCCAGCTACTTTGTTGTTGCTATTGCAAGGAAGGAAGCAGGCCAGGTAATTTGTTCTTGCTAATACTAGGTAGGAAGCAGCCCAGCTACTTTATTGCTAATGCAAGGTAGGAAGCATCCCAGCTACTTTATTGCTAATGCAAGATAGGAAGAAGACCAGCTACTTATTATTGCTAATGCAAGGTAGGAAACAGGCCAGCTAATTTGTTATTGCTAATGCAAAGTAGGAAGAAAGCCAGCTATTTGTTATTGCTAATGCAAAGTAGGAAGCAGACAAGAAGAAAGCAGGCAAAAAATTAAATATATTTGGCGATTTCACCCATTTTTTTTTTAATTTGAGTTTTTTTTAGAGGCAAAGTGTGCAAGTTCTGCTTATACAAGAAACATTTCAAGCTTGGAGAGGATATTGTTGGAAGCTTTGATTTTACCGTGGGCGAGGTAATCGTCTATGATTGACTCATAATACCCGGGTTCATAATGTTATTTTAACTACTTCCCTATTGCGTGATTTGTATAATACTGTTAAAATGCAAACATTAATCCCAATTCTGTAGGAAAATGTGATAGTTCTATTGCGAGTAAAATTTTTAAGGAAATTCCTTATATTTCTCAGAACATATAGTTATTGGTGTCCGGGCCATGGTTTTAGGTTCTATGTTCCCGTTGGTGGTTTCTTATAGTTTTCCACAAGTTTTTTTTTATAGCTTTCATTTAGATTGAATGTGTACAGTACACTGTAAGTCTACAACAAGTGGAAACTATAGAACCAGAGTTCAAAGTAAAAGAAGATCAGCAGGAAAAGGTAACATTTAATTTTAAGGATTGCAATGTTTGATGTCGATAAGATTTGAATTAAAATTTTGGTAAAAAAGAATGATTTCATGCAGAGATGCTTATTTTCATGAAATCATCTACATTATGCTGAAAACTTTTTTGTTGACTAGAAGAAAAGTGGAGGAAATGTATGATATTTCTTTCTGCTTGTTCCGATTCCTTTTATCTTTATTCCCAACACCCGTCCTTGTATAAATCCTAATTTTCCTGTTTCAGATTGTGAATCAGAGTAAACAGCATGAGGTGTGCCTTGGATTCTCTCATTCTCATCTTATACTGCCTGTTCCTCTTCATCTTACTCCGTCCTTCTCAACCAATATTTGCAGGTTGGTCCAATTCACATAAATCTTACAAAATGCTTTCTTAAACTCTTGAAATAAATCTGGAAAACAACGGGATTATTTTACTTCAAACTTTAAATATAGTCTCATTTTAAAAGCCGTTGCAATCCTGAACCTTTAACATCTTCAAGTTTCAACATAAGCGTGATAAAATGTTTAAATTCTCTTCTAAATTATAAGTGTTAAATTTTTTGTGTTTTTAAATTCATTTAAATATACTTAAACTTTCCTTTCAATATAATTAACCTTTCATTTCAATATAATTAAACTTTCCTTTTAAAGTTACTTTAATTATTATCAATTTTATTGAAGATTTTAACTCCAAATAAGAACTATTTTTTATAGAGTTGATTACAGACTTCATTTTGAGTTTGTAACGAGTGTGAACCGACTGGAGAAGCAGGAGATCCCGGAGGAGGAAGGCGGGGTAGAGTGGCAGGGCCCCACCAAGCTGGATATTGAGACCCTTGTCTGGGATCTTCCTATCACACTGCATTCAACCTTCCCAACGCATGCCGCACTTCATTCCAATATTCCTACATTCCTCACAGATAGATTATAGAGATCAACACTTTCCAGGATTTGGTGGGATTTTTACAACTACATTTTCATCTTAACAATTGAATAAGAGTTTTTTAGTTGAATAATTCAGACGGAACTAAAATCCCTCTCCAAGTATTTTACATTAAATGTTAAAAAAAAAATACATTAAACATTGTTAACAGAAAATTATTTGACTTGGTTTTAGGTATCTCGGTGTCCATTGGTTTTGTTTAATCTATTCTTTAGAATCTTTTTTAATTGAGTATTTCATGAGAGAATAAGATGCAGAGGAAATCATTATGTTTCTGTCAACTGTATTCTTCCTTCCCTGAAAGGCAAGTTGATTACTCTTGGTTGCCACCTTCTTGAGAAACAGGCTCTGTAGGAATTCCATTGCTACAACCTCATCTACCCCAGCCAGGAGCAGGATTTCGTCCTTACTTTTTAAGTTTTTATGTGATGTTTTCAGTATTTAATAATTTTTCCAAACACTATTTCTGTGTTACAATCTGTGATCTGTACTTTCTAGATTTTTTGTAGATTTTTATTCATTCGTTATTTTACACAATGTATATTAGATATTTAAAAATATATATTTCAGATGAAGTTGGTTCAAGAACATGTTTTGAAGGGACACACAGGGAGGGTTTGGTGCTGTGCTTGGAACCCTCAAGGTTAGAACTAGGGGAAAAAACTACGTTTTTTGATCAAAGGGTGGCGAATAATAAGTTCCCCTCCCCACTTAACAGATTAATTTATCTCTTAGATATGAGGTATGTTCGCACTTAGCGAATTTTTTAGTTTAGATTTGGTCAACTGTATGAATTATCTCTTATTGTTTTTGTTAGGTGATATGCTTGCTACGTCAGGAGAGGATAAAACTGTCCGCCTTTGGCTAAGGGAAGGCGGAAGTTGGTCTTGTTCCACTGTTCTGGCGGAGGGTCACACTAGGACAGTGAGAAGTGTTTCCTGGTCTCCTTGTGGAAAATATTTAGCTTCTGCAAGCTTCGACGGTCAGCTTTTAAAATAATTTTTTTCTCTTGATAATTTTGATTATTTTAGATTTTATTGCTGAAAAAATAGCGAAAGTTTCGTCTTGCTATTATTATTTTTGCATTTCTCTGAAAAATATTGATCCAGAGAGCAACATTTTTTACGGGATAGCTCTTAAACTCAGCTACTTTTATTTGATTTCAGAGTATCCACTGCACAATCTTTTTATAGGATTTAACGCTCTAAATCAGAAAAAAGTTTTCCATCTCAGACACCTTTATGGTATCTTACCTCCTAAGATTGAACCGTGGCGCCGACGTCAAGTCTGAAATATAAAAAAATCTGCATCAAAGTTTCTGTTTCAGGAACAATTGCAGTCTGGAACCGAAATGGAGGAAGCTGGGAATGTACTGTTACACTAGAAGGGCATGAGAACGAGGTTAAATGTGCAGTCTTTTCTCCGTCTGGAAACTTTCTAGCCACTTGTAGCAGGGATAAATCAGGTAAAACTTCCTCTCCCCCCTCAAAAAAAATAGGGATTTATTCCCCCCCCCCCAAAAAAAATCTAGATTGTCGGCAATTTCCAAGCTTTTGATAAAAAGTATCGAAATAAATGAGAACAAAACAAAGTACAAAAAATTCTTATTGTTGGTTTTTTTTTTTTTTTTAAGAAAAAAACTTCTCTTGAATATATACTCATAACAAATAAAAAAAAATCTTGTTTTCAGTGTGGTTATGGGACGTAGATAAAGAGGATGATGATTATATGTGTGCCAGTGTTCTTCATTCACATACACAGGTACTTTTTATCCCCTGTTTTTACTCGGGTAAATTGCTGTACTGTTACACACGGCAATAATCCTATAAAAATTGTACACCCTGCGTTCAAATCTCGATGTTTTTACATCCAACATTTTAATGGTTTTTCCTATGTAAAAACATGAGCATTTATTATTTGAAGGGGGAAAGGTTAGCGAGCTGTTCTGAGGATACATCAGTCAAAGTTTGGAAGCAATTCCCACCGGGGAATAAAGAGGGAATTCCAACCCAGGTAAACTTTTGTTAATTCTTAAAAAGTGACAATACCATTTTACATAACCTCCCTTTCTTCTCTCTCTCCTCCAAAATTTACAAACTTCTTTAAGTCCGTAAGTTTTCTCAGGTTTTCATGATAAAGTAACACTTCAATAGGAAAATGAAGTTGCAATTGCCAACGTAAATTGATTTCTTGTTATTTGATCTTTTCTGTATTTTATCAGGGCAAGGACCCGGCTTGGAAATGTGACTACACAATAGGTAAATCAAGCTTGATGAAATTAATTAACACCTAATTCAAATTGTCTACAGATGATATATTTTCTATCTATGCAGGGATGTATAATAATGTTTTTTTTTTAAATTGGAATTTATTTTCCCCAAGAACAAAGCTGACTACTAAAGGAAAATTAATATTTTCAAAAGAAGGTGGGGGGAGTGGATTTTTAAAGCAAATATACATTATGCACCTATGTGTGTGTATCTATAATTTGATTTTGTTGATGACATATTAATGTTTTGTAGCTGGAGTGCATCCCCGAGCTGTTTATGATCTAGACTGGAGTTCTCAGGGTTATATTGTTACGGCTGGAGGAGATGATGCAATCAGAATATTTAGGTCGGAAACTAAAATAAAATTTTATCTTGGCAGTTTGCATAGCTTCTATATACATACTTTGCTTGTCTGTCCGTTTGTATCCAATCAACGTCAAAACGGCTGAACCGATCGGGTCCAAAAATGATCCCATGAAGGTTTATTGATGATCAAAATTACAAAAAATGTATATCTTAAGTTTTTGAAATGCGCGAAAAAAAAATATTAAATCCGCGAAATTTTTGGTTGTTGGTGTTATATACTGAGCAATTAGAAGATGCTCACAGAAAGAGCCACAATTAAAAGTAAAAAAAAGGATGAAGTGCACTAAAAGCCTAGTATTTAATATTTATGTCTGATAACTTAAATCCGCAGTCCACACATTCATAAAAAAATGTTAAATATTTTGAATACATTATTTTTGGATTCTTGCTTGTTCTTCAACCTTAAATGGAATAAATATTGAATCGGTTAAATACTGGCGATTGAAAGATTTTTATCTTCGATCTTTTACACTTCTGTAACAATTTCTTTGATATTTAGAGAGATTGATAATGAATGGGTTTGTGAACTTACTGAGGAAAATGCTCACGATATGGATGTTAACTGTATACGATGGAACCCTAAGGTTTATAATTTATTATTAATTCTGAATAAACAATAAGCTGAATTTCATTAGCAAGTAATAGTTTAATACACGACAAAACAACCTTTTTATGAACTTTTCGTGCATCTCAGTTCTTTCTTCGATAAAAAAGGATTTGTTTGTAACGATTTTAATGGTTAATATCAGTTAAATTATAAAAGACAAATGGACTACCAATTATATTTAGTTTATTTTGAAAATCTGATATTTTTCTACTGTTCAGAACCCGGATTTGGTTGCAAGCTGTAGCGATGATGAAACCACAAAGATCTGGAGTCTACAGAGATAACATTGAACAACTGTGATAAATATGAAAATATTCAGAAGAATAATTAATCAACAAATTTGGAATTTTGGGAGTTAATACGATAATGCTTTGCATTTCAGAAAAGATGCAAAGTTTAGGAGTTAACGAAAGGACGTGAAGGATTCTAACAAAATAACTTATCAGGTTTGATCTTTTAAAAATTAATTAACATCTTTAAAAATAAAGAAAACAATTTTTTTTATTTAAGCTTTTATTCCAGTACGATACATTATTTTAACAGCTCAGTTCACTTTGGTGTTTTCATTTTCTTCTTAACATCTCGTTTTCTTGAGCTGGTTACATCCCTCCTCCAACTAGCTGGTCTTTTCTTACCATGAAGCTTGAAATAGAGTCCGCAGGCGTTACATACAGGTCTACCCTCACCATCCCTCCGCCACAGGCTGGTCTGGCTTGTGAAGCAGTTCACACACTTAGTCAGGAAATGTGGAGGCAGGCGACGTTTCTTCTCAGGTTCGCAGTTGCTTGTTCGAGCCACGGTTACACCTTCAGCAGGTTGCGAAGTAAAATCAGAACCTAGGGTGTTTGCGGCATTGGGTTGTTGGTAATTGTCTGCTGTTGGTTCGTTGTGTAATCTAGTATCATAGGGTACCGAGTACTCGGGTGGTATACAGGAGAACGGAGTCGCATAGGATAATTCATCCTGTGAAACTAGTATCACAATATCTCCATCCGAGGTTTGGGAACTAGGCTGGGAACCCTGGTACTCTGAGTACTCGTGTTGGTAATCAGGATACGAGGAGTACTCTTGGTACTCGTGTTTAATTTGGGATTGATCGTATTCCTGAGTGTATGAAGAAGGTTGAGAATATATTTGATCATCTTGGTAACCAGGTTGAGTGTAGAGTGGTGAACCAGGAACCTGGCTGTATACTGGACTAGGTTCAGGATAATGTGGAGAGGAAAATATCTCCCTGGGAGAGGGTTGGCTTGATAGAGGAGAATAGGAGAACTGTCGGGGTGGAAGATGTACTGGTCGGGATAACGTGGAGTACGCTGTAATAGGAACTTGATAACTAGGTTCAGGAGATGACACAGGTTGATAGGAATAATCCGCAGGATATTGTTGATCATCTCTGTATTTTAGAAAAGTCCTGACATTAGAACTAGGCTTCCCGGGTTCCCAGTTTATTGAGTTCACTTCAGCATCCAATAATGCTTCAAGTAAAGAGTCCGGTTTAGAATTTTCCAAATGGAACTCTTGTTTTAGGATTGGTTTTGTCTCCATTGTAAAGAGTTCTTGTTAGTTTAAAATCTTTGAGATAACTGATTATCGACCCCGGAGTTCAAAGTCTATATAGAGGAGACTCCGGTCGTATGTGTTAGTTGGGGGGTTGGGGGTTGGTAGGTACCCATCCTTAATAACTCAAAAACGGCTTACATTAGAACGCTAAAACTTTCACTTTTTCAATAGTTGTGAACAAAGGGGATGGTGGAGTTGGCATGTTTGATGTGGGGGGGGCTGCCTTCATGTTTGGTTCAAATCTTCCAATTTTTTGGCTGCACACCTAATTAGTGTTCGAAATTCCTAAATTAAAATCAAATTGAATTTTAATGACCTCTAATGACCTCCACAAATAGAAAATATTTCAACTATGGCTTAATGCATATCTAACGAAAGCTAGGAACCCAGGAAATGCAGTAGCAGCAACAAGTCCAGTGTTTGACCTTCTAATGACCTCTTACAACCTCTAATGACCTAAATGACCTCCAAAAATGAAAATGTTTTAACTATGGCTTTATGCATATCAAACGAAATCTAGGAACCCCAGGAATACAGTTGCAGCAACGAATCCAGTGTTTGACGTTCTACTGACCTCTAACGACCTCTAATGATCTAAATGACCTCCAAAAATGAAAATGTTTTAACTATGGCTTTATGCCTATCAAACGAAAGCTAGGAACCCAGGGAATACATTAGTAGCAACAAATACAGTGTTTGACCTCTTACGACCTCGAATGACCTAAATGACCTACAAAAATGAAAATGTTTTAACTATGGCTTTATGCATATCAATTAAAATCTAGGAACCCCATGAATACAGTAGCAGCAACAAATCCAGTGTTTGACCTTCTAATGATCTCTAATGACCTCTAATGACCTCCACAAATAGAATATATTTCATCTATGGCTTTTATGCATATCAAGCGAAAGCTAGGAACCCAGGGAATACATTAGCAGCAACAAATCCAGTGTTTGACCATCTAATGACCTCTAACGACCTCTAATGACCTAAATGACCTAAATGACCTCCAAAAATGAAAATGTTTTAACTATGGCTTTTTGCATACCAATTAAAAGCTAGGAACCCCAGGAATACAGTAGCAGCAAAAAATCCAGTTTTTGACCTTTTAATGACCTCTAATGACCTAAATGACCTTCAAAAATAAAAATGTTTTCACTATGGCTTTATGCATATCAAACGAAAGATAGGAACCCAGGGAACCGCGTGTTAATATTTGTTTAAAGTAAAAATAAGTATTTTTGAACATTTTTCCTGTTTACTTTTTTAAAATCCCCCCTCCCACCCTAACTATTCAAGCTTTAGGTCTAATTTTTTGTTATGAGCAGGCTTTGAAAAGTTGGACTAGGGCCATGTATCACACTCCCCTATCTCAACTTCAAGGGCAAAATCATAGGAGGGGGGGGGGGGAAACACTCCCCCATTCATATTGGGGATAGGGTGAAAAGAAGTCTTCCATCGTAAGTTTTTAATTTTGGAATTATTGAAAACCCAGAACTGAATAATGATGATTGAATTCTGAATGAGCTTTTAATAAAAACACTTTTTATGCAGAAAAGTAACTTATCGCAGACTGTTCGTGAAAAGCAACCATTCTTACAACCAACATAGCTTTAGATTTATCTGTATTTTATATTGTTATATTGTTTTGGTTTCGCCTAGATACCATTTTTGGTAATTAAAAAGCGATACTGAACTGTTCTTGAATATGTTTTAAGAATCAGACTCTTTTATTTAGTCCGGCAAACTGTTCCATGTTGATAGGTAAGTAGATTGATTGATTGATATGTTTCAGGATGTTAAGCGAGTAACCTGGCATCCTTCTCTTGATATTCTAGCCTCCTGTAGTTATGATAACAATATAAAAACTTACAGGTATTTCTAAAAATTAGTTTCACATTTTCCTGACTTTTTATTCCAATTAGTTAGAGTTCGATTTTGTACGTTTTTTATAGGGGGGGGGGGATGTAAAAGTTTTAAACTTGTTTTTCCCGATGCTTTGTTACATCCAGTGCTTAGGATCATCCATTTAATTTTGATGCGGATCCGGATCCTGGATCCGCACTGGAAAAAAATGGATCCGGATCCAGGTCATTTCTTACAAATTTAATGAATTTTTTAACAAAAAATTATTTTCAAATTTTTTGTTTTATGTTTTTTTCGCTTGTTTTTTCCTAAAACTTGATGAACCATTTAGAAATGAGGAAATTTTTATAATCTCTTTTTTTCAAAAGTTCAGATTTGGGGTTTAGGAGTAAAAAAGGTTTTTTTGCAGTTTTTGGTTGACATTTTACCCCTTGGATCCGGATCCGTAGATCCGCATATTTTTGCGGATCCAGATCCTGATCCAGTCAGCCAAAATCTTGCGGATCCAACGGATCCGGATCCGGATCCTAAGCACTGGTTACATCAATGATCAATGATTGCTTAGCAATATTAGGCCAACCTGAACATAACCTTGTATACTTTAACTACGAAGGTGCTGCCGGGCGTGCTGTCTAATTCTATGCCTGGTTTTAGTATTCAATATTGCCATAATAAATAAAGAAATAAATTTTGTGGGGAGGGCTTACAGATAAATTTTTCTTTTCCTGAAGAGTTTCTTACTTTTTAAATCTAAGAGAAAACCTGATATACATTCAGTATTTTTTACAACGAGTTTAATTTTTCAGGGAGGAGGACGATGATTGGATTAGTACAGCAACATTATCCTCACATACTAGTACAGTCTGGGGTATATGCTGGGAATCAACAGTAAGCCTTTTATAAGAATACTAGGGGTGTGATTTACAAATTAATTTCGATATTTATTGTCACTTTTTACAGAGCAAAGTAGGGTGTACATTTGTACCCCCATTCCCGTGCACTGTGTGTTGGGGGGGG